ACATTTTCCATAAGAATAAAATAGAGTAAACGCAAGAAAGGGAGAGAGAAAAAAATACATCGGTAACACGTACAGGCGCCACTGCTACGGTCTCGACGTTGGTGACGGTCGTGGGGCATCCGAACACGCCGACGTCGGCCGGGAACGGCGGCTTCAGCCTCGGCTTCCCCTGCTTCCCCTCGATCGACTCGATGAGAGCGGTCTCCTCGCCGCAGATGTACGCGCCCGCGCCGCGCTGCACGAAGATGTCGAAGTCGTAGCCGGAGTTGCAGGCGTTCTTGCCGATCAGCCCGGCCTGGTAGGCCTCGGCTATCGCGACCTGCATGTTGGACGCCTCGTTGTAGAATTCACCGCGTATGTAGATGTAGGCGGCGCAGGCGCCCATGGCGCGGCCGGCGATCAGGCAGCCCTCCACGAGCTTGTGCGGATCGTGGCGCAGGATCTCGCGGTCCTTGCAGGTGCCCGGCTCGCCCTCGTCGCCGTTGACCACCAGGTACTTGGGCCGGCCGTCGGACGGCTTGTTCATGAAGGACCACTTCATGCCGGAGGGAAAGCCGGCGCCGCCGCGGCCCCTCAGGCCGGAGACCTTGATCTCGTTGATGATCCAGTCGGCGCCCTTCTCCACTATCTCCTTGGTCTTGTACCAGTCGCCGCGGCTCATGGCCCCCTTCAGCCGCCAGTCGTGTCTGCCGTACAGGTTCGTGAAGATGCGATCCTGATCGGCCAGGGGACCACATTTCTTCTGCGAAAGAAAATAAAGACGGTGACTACGCCAGAACACCGCTTAACCGGCCACGAGCTCTCTCAGTTCATCTTTAACTGTACTTGAAGCAGGGACGGGGGACACGTCGAGGCAAGGAGAGGAGGTGGAGGGAAAATCAAAACGAACGGACGTTCAGAGAGGCAGCCTCACCTTTCCTTCCGGCGCGGCATCGGCGAGCGTTCTCTGCTGCTGACTGCTCAAGCTGCTCGATCCGAGGAGACCTTTAAATATAGCGCAAATTGATTTAATTACATAACCTCGTATGCCGGCTTCTGCTTGAAACAACGAAC